TTTTTTAAAAATTATTTACTTTTTATTTTTATCTTTTTAAGTAAGGGAAAAATAAAAAAAAGCAGGCTACATTGTAGTAACCCACTTTGATTTCCTATTTACTTGATTTGAAACCCTGTATAGCCCTCACCATCTTGCTTTGACTTAATTTCCTCTATTCTGCTTTGCTTGATAGTACCAAGTTCGAAAATGTAGGCAAAACTGTGAAGACAGTAAGATTCATTATGACGCCCATCCCGGTTTACTATTTCTTCTTTTAAAGTCCTGTAATGTCTCCAATGTTTTGGTTTTATTCTTTACTGTTTTGTTCAATTTTATTATAACTGATGATATAGGCAATTCTTTTTAAGATAGCAAGAGGCAGTATGGTAACCTTTGTTGATCACCTTGTATTTTGTTTTTACATTATCTATTATGCCCATCCTTTTGATTTGACTGACTCTGATGTTATGGCACATTTGGCTTTACTGTCTTCAAAAACAGTGATAAGAACTGTGGGAGTAATAAAACCCAAAATGTGTAATTGTCATTGTACAAAAGAAAGGAAAAGAAAATGCTCTAAAGAATATAACTGGATACATACTTAAGTGTATAAGAGAGATAACCATATTACTGAGTTTTGTTGGATCATTGAACAAAACAGTTTCTAGTCTCACTGTTTGAAAGTCTACTTTATATGCTTTAATTTTGTAACTTGAACAACTATTTCTAAGATAACAATATGTAATCTGTTAACTAGTGATTTCCTACTGTTTATGTTTTCTGAAATTCTGTATAACTTGTACCCTTTTTCTATTTTTTTTTCTTTTTCTCCTTAAATAAAAAAATGCATTGTGCAAAAAAAAACTTGAATTACATCAAAACTTAAAATTGGTCAGGTGTGGTGGTGACACCTGTAATCCCAGCACTTGACAGGCTGAGGCCGAAGGATCACTGCAAGTTCAAGACCAGCTGGGGCTACAAAGTGAGTGCAATGCCAGCATAGGGAAACTGTCTCAAAAAGGCAAGACAAACAAACACAAAACCCTTAAAACTATGTGCCTTAAATACACAGGAGAGTGAAGAGTCCCTGTAAAACAGGAGAAGATACCTTAGAATCAGATATGTTAAAAAGAGTTAATATCCAGAATATGTAAAAAGTTATAATTCAACAACAAAAATGCACATATAAGCCAATTGAGAAGTGAGCAACGTACTGGAAAAGACGGTTCTGTAGAGGTGAGGACCAACAAGGGATTTAAAAAGATGCTCAACATTACCAACCCCTGGGCGAATGGAAATCAGAACCATAGTTAGCTTCACTTCACACTGAATTATTTAAAAGAAAAATAATAAATGTTATTGTGGAGACATCGGAACGCTCATGAACTGTTTGTAGGGTAACATGGTGTAGCCTTTATGGAAAAGAGGAGGGAGGTTCCTCAAAAACTTACATAGCTACCCTGTCATCCAGCATTTCCATTTCTGGGTAAATATTCAAAAGAACTGAAAGTTAGATCTTTGTACACTCATATTTATAACAGCATTTTTTTTAATTAACAATAGTCTACAAGTGAAAGCAAACCAGGGATCTATCATCTGCGGTTATCAGGGCCAGGCAGTGGAACAGAGGGCTGATATTTAATGGATGTGTATATAATCTCAGTTCTGTAGATTGGGAACATTTGTATATAGGTTACACAACAATGTGAATATGCTTAACAGTGCTAAGTTGTACGTTTAAAAACAAGTGAGGGGCGGAGGGTATAGTTCAGCTTATCTGGCAAGCGCAAGGTCCTGAGTTCGATTTCCAGTACAAAAAAAAAAACATGATGAATTTTGGCTTAGTTTATTTTGCCACAATTGAAAAGTAAGCCAGGCCTGATGGTGAGTCCCAGAACTATAGAGGACAGGACGATTGATAGTTGGAACTCAACCTAAGCATCTTAGCTACTTAGTTTGTTACCTTGTTGTCTCAAAAATTTTAAAAGGACTGAGATGTAGCTTAGTGTGAATCCCCAGAGTTAAGTCCCCAGCACTGTAATCAGTCAGTCAATTAGCAGGGTTGCTGGCTGCAGAATTATAAAATAGAAATAATATTAGAGGGGGCTGGGGATTTAGCTCAGTGGCATAAGTGCCTGTCTTACAAGCAGGTAGTCGTGAGTTTGATCCCCGGTACCCATAAAAAGCAAAAAGACAAAAATAATAATAATAATAATATTAGAAGTGCATAGATTCTTTAAAGAATTTAAATTCTTTTAAATTTCAAAAAGTTAAATCTTCATTGAAAGACATTAAAGAATGCTCAAACACATTCATGGAAAGGGATATTCAGGTGTAAAGATGTCAGTTCCCTGCAAAGTTATCTATCACTCCGATCAGCCCCATTGAAATCCCAGCAGTGCTGATGGTGGTGTGTATGATAAATGATAAACTGATTCTAAAATTCAGCTAAAGTGCAGAACAGGCTCAGCAATAACAAAGACACTCTTTAAGATGTGAGTTTGGGCATTTGCACTATCTACAAATAAGTAATTAAATCACTAAGGTATTAGTACAGGACAGAAATAGAATATTCTTCTAGTGGGAAAAAATGATTTATTAAATGAGACAATTGATTGTCCACATAAGACAGCATTAGGTTCTTTACTCATACCTATCAAAAATCAGCTCTAAGTAGATACATGTTTAAATACAAAAGGCAAGAATTATAAAACAGTACAAGACAGTGTGGAAGAATGTCTTTATGACCTGAGGGAGGGAAGTATTTCTTAAGACAAAAAATTAAGGAAAAGATGACTAAATTGGTAATGCCGATGTGTAAAGTAGCAGTGCTGCCATCCAAAAGCATAACAGACTAAGAAGCTGAAAGGAGGAGTCGTTTGTGCCATGGGACTTTGTTAGAGAAAGGCAGCCCATCAAAGATGGGACTGTGTTGCTCGAGCAACACAGTGGCCGTGAAACAGGAAGAGTCAGTATTCTTAGTTACTAGAGAATCAGAGATTAAAACCACAGTACCACAGCAAGTGTTTAAAACGTCTGGCAGTGGCAAGCGTTGACTAAAATGTGGTGTTTCAAAAACTCTCATAGCTGATAAGAGTAGAAATTAGTGTAAGCACCTTGTAAAACAGGTTGGCAGTACTTAGTAAATTTGAATACATATAACCATAGGAACCAGTAACTTCAGTGCTAGAAAATTCTTACACTTGGCCACCAAGAAACACAGAATAGGGTGAGTACGGGGTATGGTAGCATTATGAACGACGGGGAAAAAATGGAAACAACCCAAAGATTTGTCATCAGTGAAACAGCTACCTAAATTATGAGTAATCAAGTAGTGAAAAGCTTTCACCAGTTGATGAAAATAGATGAATTAATTACTGTATATACAGCTAATTTGATGAACTATAATAATTTTAGTGAAAAGAACAAGTTGCAGAAAAAGATATATGTAAGTATATAGATTTTCAGCATGTTTAGTGTATTATGCATCCATAATTGCTAAAATAATACAACCAAGGAGTGATTAATTTAAAATCTAGGACAGTGATTACCAGGAGAGAAGAAGTTGTGGTAAGTGAGCTTCTATTAGGATAAGGGCCCACAGTGGCTGTTAGGTTCTGTTTCGTAGGCAAGCTAGTGGGTAGATGGGTACTATAACCTTTATGGGTGTTCTGACTTAAAATTGTGTGTATAGTGCAGTCTTAGTTATAAACACATATCAACTATCTTTGCCTGTGTATTCTTTTTTTTTTTTTTTTTTTGTCTTTTTCCTTTTTATCTGTACCAGGGATCGAACCTCACAACTGCCTGCTTGCAAGGCAGGCGCTTATGCCACTGAGCTAAATCCCCAGCCCCTTTGCCTGTGTATTCTTAAAGGCAAGCAAATTTTTCTTTATTATGTGTTAACTGTTACAGCAGTCAGCATATAAAAGTCAAGTGGAGATGCGGTATTGAAGCACTTAGCTACAGTGCTCCAGGTGGCACATTTGTTAATAAACTCTAGAGGAAGTAGAATGAAGTACTTAAACTATTTTGCAGTTAATGTCCTGCCAAAATCTCAGACTATAGTGTTATTTAAAGAGATTTGAATGCACATCATCATTTATGTAAAGAACCTTCTTTAAACAGTTTAAGAGGGCTGCAAGGATAGTTTGACTTCACTGTTGTCCCCTGAAAAGGTAAATAGCGGCTTTGAAAGTAATGTTCTATGTAACTACCTTTAATTTTACTTACTTCCGTGCATTTTTACTATTAAATCTTAGACTTGATTATCTTTGGATTTAGTGTTTCTGATTGTCAGAGAAAATGTAGTAAAAACAAAAGTTCTAGTATGACAGCTTGAATTTGGTCTGTAGCCCAGGTTGGTCTCAAATTCATAATCCTTCTGCCACAGCCCTGTGAGTGCTGCAGTTACAGATGTTTGACGTTATGCCCAGCTAACAAGTTCTTTTTGTATCTCCTGATATGTCATAATTTAAAGTCATGGGTCTGATCCTGACTTCCTGTGTGAGTGTTCTTATTTGTATCTACTCATATACCCACACCCTAAAAACCAAATGTTCTGCCTTATATTTATTTAGGAATATTTTAACATTTGATGATGTGGCTTAACTAATTTGCTAACACCCATAAGTCATATACTCTTATATTATCCATTTAGTATTGTAGCCCATGAAGAAGTTCTGACTCTCACTAGGAATTAACTTTAACATCTTAGAAAAGTGATAGAAGCATTGAAAGAAGAAATTCATGCAAAGATAGGTACAGCTGTCCAGAAAGACAGTTAAATCAATGTGATAATGTGATTTCATAGTACAGATGAAGGGCCCACAAATGACCTGACCTGGGGATCACTGTGAGTTCCTTTCTTCAAGGCCTGTTACTATTGATTGTAGTGAAACTTGATTTGACTCTGAAGAGATGTTTTCTGTACTCTTTGTCACCAAGTTCTTTTGAAGTTCATTGCCATTCTTTTGAAGAGATAATTTCATATGTCCTTATTTTCTACTTTGACACAGAAATCCCCTGCAAAGAAGCTGAGCCATGCAATTAGTAAATCTTTGGGGTGTGTGCCCTCCAGAGAACCTGCGCATCCTGTTTTTCCTGAACAACCAGAGAAACCACTTGACCTTGCACATATAGTGTAAGTATGCACGTGGATGGGGACCGTATTGAAATGGGGAACTCACAAAATCGCAAATATTACATAACATTAACACTGAACTTTTAGCTTTTTCATTTCAATGGGGGACTCAGACTTCACACTCTCATTCTTCATAGCACTATAAATAGATGGGAACCTAGCTCGTACTTCCTGACACTTTAGGAATATTACAGTCTCCAGAAATGTGAATACATGAAACAGTAATTACTGTACTGTCAAACTAGATTGCCTTCATTGTGTGTTCGTCTCTTAAGTCAGTGGTAGAGATTGTTTCTTCTCCACGGCTCTAATGCCCACAGAGATTTAAACTGGTTCTCATGATAGGGAAATGAAAATCCACTTAATTTCCTTTTTCAAATTAAGAGAAAATTAGCATAAAATTATCCTGCAAATAAGACACACACACACACACACACACATTTGAATATTTATACTAAATAAAGCAAAGTTGGGGTCAGAAAGTTAAATAGAGAAAGGTAAGAGTGAAAGAAAAGTGAAGGATAGGATTCAGCCTCTCCATTGAGTTCTTTGCTCTGCATAATGATGACAATAGTAAGTTTACTCTGCTGGATAAAGTTGGCAGGTTGTTGCATGTTAGTCTTTATCAGGTAAATGAGAGTCTTTCCACGGCAGTGAACACTTGTTTTATTTTACCTAAACAGGGGGTAGTGTGACTAAATGAGCTCCTGGGGATGTCTTTTTGCTTTCAGAAATTTGAATAATTTTTATATTAAAAGCGTACATGCATGTGGACTAAAAATACAGAAGAGCTTAAATGAATGAAGCATACTCTCTCATGTTTAACTTCTTTTGGGTTTTAGGTCTACTAGGTGTTGTTTCCATATTGCTAAGTCATATATGTGGAGTGCTGTTTCTTGACTTAGCAGGTATTATTGAATTACATTGTGGGCATAAGGAATCAGCTTCATTTATAATGCTACATACCATCTCATTCCAGTTTTTCATAATAGTATTCCCATTTTAAGTTGGCTGGCTTTGTAATTTTAAATAATCTTAAAATAATTTAAAATTGTTTTAAAATTCCTTCAACTTCTGCATCAACTGAGCAAGTTAGTACCTTGTGTCTTATTTTTCCTTTTGCCTCCTCAGTACCATAGCTTTCATATTATGAATGCTGATAATTTTTCTGTCCCGTGACCATTAGTAATTCTTACGAGATTAAGTTTTCAATTTAAATTTAAAACCACATAATAGCATTTACGGTCAATATGACACAGTCAAATACTGCACTGCAGTTCTGTGCCTCCTTCTGTGGCACCCGGTGTCCTGGTCCCTGTGCAGGTACTGTCTCACCAGGCACGCATTAGCTCTTCTTTGTTATGGATCACCGATCGCTGGCGTGTTGAGGCTGGAGGTGCTTAGTGGTAGAGCATGTGCTTAGTGGGTGTGAGGCACTGCTTCCATCTCAGCCACTTGTCCTGTGCACAGATGCTCTGCCTGTTGGTTTGTATAGTTGGATTGGTTTTCTGTCTTGTATAGTCTTTGTTGTTTTTCCTCCAGTTTTCTATTGCTTTTTTCTTGTTGAGACCATACCCCACCAATCATGTTCCATAATGCAATTTACCTATTCTTGTAATTCATTTTTGCTGTGAAATTTGTTACATTTTCCCTTTTTGGTTAATGTTTTTTATGTTAAATTAAAAGAAAAATCTTCCCTGCCCTGACAGGCTTTCTCTTTTATTTATTTATTTTTATGTTTTATATATATCTCTAATTTATCTAGAATAGGTTTTTATGTAGGATATGATAATATCCAGTTCTTCTTTCACTCCCTTGTGACACTCACCTCATTTGAATTCCAACCTGTTTCAGGCCCATTTATTGGACATTTGTCATTTCCTTACCCACTAACCTAAAGTACATATTGTTAAAAATGAGGTTTCCCAATTTGAATGGGCTGGTTTTGGGCTCTGTGTTCTGTTCATCACATTATCCCTTGCCACTTTGGTTATTAAAGGATTAAATAATCTTTTTCATGAGTATTGTTTTTGCTCTTTCATAATAATTTTAGAGTAAGCTTATTGACCTGAATCCCTTGTAAGATTTTGCTGAGATTTTTCTTTTGAAAATTAATTGAATCTAAAGATAAAATTAGAGAAAATTGACATCTTTACAGTGTTATTTTTCTTTCCATGAATATATTGTCCCATTTATTTAAATCTTTTTATGCCTTTAAGTTTTATCTGAGAAAGGTCTTATATGTATTAGATTAATTCCTATGTATCTGCATTTGTTGTTGTTGTTACAAATTGTGCCCCTCTTTCCTACATTTTTGAAGTATATTTTACATGCAATATGGATCTCCTTTAAATGTACAATTCTGTGAATTTTGGTAAACATATACTGTCAAACATGTAGATTTTTTTTCACTGTTTTCTGCAATTTGTTACTGTTGTGTAGAAATGTAAGTGGTTTTGTGTCTTTGTCTGCTACCTGTTCATCTTGCTTAACTTGTTTATTCTTGTAATTTGTATTCATAGTCTTTCAGATTTTTTTTAGATAATTGTATCATCTGGAAATAATGACAACTTTGTGTTTTCTTTTTTTTTTTTTAATTTTTTTTTTATTTAAAGAAAAGGAAACGAAAAAAAAAATACATGGAGATTAAAAAAAAAGGGTAGAAATAATACTAAATTACAGACAAACAAAAGATAAGAAATTGCCGGTTGATAAGTTACAAATTGTCATCTTCGAAATGGCTGTTCAGGTTATAGAATTAAAGTATTTAGAATGACATTCAAAAAAGTGACCCTACAAACCATTCTGCTCTATGGTCGAACAAAAGCTCCGTAATATGATTATCAGTCCCACCTATTTGTTTTACATCTCTAAGAGGGTAAGGTTAACCATATCAAAACAGAACAGAACATTTTTTAAAAAATAAATAAATAAAAAACAATTTAAAGAAATACAGATTTCAAAGCAAGTCCACTGGAGATCTACCTTATCTAACTGTCTCTAGCTTCTTACAAATAGTTGTCCCTAACTTCACCCACTTTATATACTTATTGCATATTATAGAACTAATCAAATCATTACAGGATGATGGAGTCTTTTTAGGTCCTCAAGTTCCAAATTAGGGAAGACAATAGCAACTACCATCGCATCTCTCATTCTCTTTGTGATAGCCGTCCCCATCTCTGCATATGCTGAAGTTGAGCTGAAGAAACCAGTCCAATGTCATTCTAATCAGCAAGCAATAGATTGCTAGAATTTATATTATAATGCTACAAAATAAGCCTCGGGTTTTTCAGGTCTCTTCCTCAGAGTATTTGTTCCTATCCTCTCTGTATTATAGGGAAAACCAAGTCATAACAAGACAGCGAAACAATTTCCTAGAAAAACATGCAATGGATAAGACTTATAAAACTATAATATAAATGATCTTCCGTAGCTACTATGTTTTCTCTTGTTATTTTCAATAGATTTGTCCACAACACTGGCTTATTATAGTTAAACATACTAACACCTATTTTTATAAAAACTTATCTTTGACTGCATTGTAGTATTTGAGAGCTGTTACTGATTCATACCAGTATGGATATCCTTTGCATCTTGTCATGCTCAGAGTAGTTTCCTCTACTTTTAGGGTTGATTCTAACACGCATACCGATTTCAAATAGGATCAGTCAAGGCCAACCAATAGTCTTATGATTCAGATACAATTAAGATCAGTCATAGTAAGACAATGTAAGTAATACAGGATTTCAGCCTAAGTCAATAGGAAAGTAAGGATAGTTACCATGGTATAACCTGCTATTTTTGGTTCTAGAGGTCTGTGTCCTCAAATCTGACATGAGTGGACAGACCAGAACAAATTTAATTCAATCTAAATATGGCACTAGGACTACTGTGTCTTTTAAATCGTTATACACCATTAGCAATGACCTCTGCTTTTTTTTTTTAATATAGTTTCAGAGCTGTCTCTACTAAAGACTAGCTTACCGTCTCTGCCTCATGTCTGCTACTCCACTTTTCTGCTATAATTTGTCCACCTTTTCCCTCATTCCATTGTCTGCCCCGTTCACTGAGGCCTCTCTGCCACTGTAGCTGTAATCCTGATATCTCTTCCTCTCTTTCTCTGTAATGTCCTTCAGCGCTCTCTGTAGGGTTGGATTGGTGGCCACGAACTCCCACAGTTCCTCCTTGTCTTGAAAGTATCTTATTTCTTCATTAATTTTTAGAGAGAGTTTTGACGGATATATGAACTTCGGTTGCATATTTTTTTCCTTCAGGACTTGGAATATTTCTCCCCACTCCTTTCTTGACTTAAGAGTTTGTGTTGATAAGTCTGCTGTTATTTTGATAGATTTCCCGTTATAGGTAACCTGCATCTTTTCTCTGGCTGCTTTTAATATTCTGTTTTTTTGGTGGATTTCTGGGATCTCGATTATTATATGCCTAGGCGTAGATCTGTTTTGGTTGTAGGTTGCTGGCGTTCTGTATGCTTCTTTTATCTGGATATCATTTCTTTTTGCTATACGTGGGAAATTTTGCTTTAATATATCTGTGAATATTTTTTGTATTTCATTTTTGGATGTTCCTACTTCCTCACTCGCATTCTTTATTCTTAGGTTATGTATCTTTTTATCATCTTCCAGTTTTAGAATTGCTTCTTTCTGGTTCCTTGTTATTTTTAAGAGGCTTTTTCTTTCATGTTCATAAGCCCTAAATCTCTCTTCAAGTTTCAGAAGGTTGTCTTTAGTTTCTGTCAAGGCATTTTGCCAATATTCAATGGAGTTTTTAGTTTCCTGATATTCTCTTTGGATCTGTTTCATGTATTCTAAGTTATGCTTAAATTCTTCTTCAGATGCTTCTCTTTCTTTTCTGATTTCCTCAGTTCTTCCATCTGTGTTCTCTTGGGCGGGGCTTGTCATTTCTTTAATTAATGTCTTTATATCTTGCCTCACTTGGATCAGGAGTACATCTTTAAATTCTTCTATGAGATCATGTAAGTA